CAACTCCAATGTGAAGTCAGTCAGTGCTACTATAGGGATCAGAGACTTGGCCAGCGCGTCATAAAGAGCATCTCAAACAAACTACAGACCTTCTTCAACAGCTATCTTCGCTCAATACTCAAGATCAGATGGCTGGTCAGAAAAGATCAGCAGTTGAGGGATCTCTGGGAGCAAACCAACCAGGAACCGATTGTGAAACAAATAAGCAGGAAGAAATGGAGGTGGATTGGCTATACTCTGAGGAAACCATCAAGTGAGTGACATCACTAGACAAGCCATCGCTCGAGTGGAACCTGAAAGGGAAGCGGCGAGTTGGTCGTCAGTGCAAGGATGACTTGGAGGAGGTCATGTGAAGAGGAGATGAAAGCATGTGGGCAGACTTGGAGCCAGGTGAAAACTTTAGCAGAGAACTGAACGCAATGGAGACGCACGGCTGAAGCCCTATGTTCCTCTAGGAATTAAAGGAAACATCAACAGCAACACAACATCAACCTCTTTCCCATTATTAGTAAATAGCACATGTGTTTGAGTATAAAGTAATCGAAAGAAAGATAATGAAGAAAGTGCATTATTGTTATTTATTTTGTATAGACCTCAGTTTTGATAAATACTCATTTGTAGGGAAAATCGTATGCCATAAGAAAGTGATATATGACGCTTGTTTATAGCTAGTGATATCGGTCTAGTTTGCAGTGATCACGGAGCTTAAACAACACATCAAACAACTGGAATGCTATTTCGACAGAATCTATATTTTCGTATGGTTGTATTCTCTGAGTTGGTTGGTTTAATTGTAAAGCTTTCACTGTCGTTTTAGGCAATATAATCAGCGTTAACTTCTACATGAAAAGATTTCCCCATTGATTGATTAGACCGAAATGTTTGACTTCTGTTGACATGTTGGCTCCTGGTACGGACTCCTTGACAGTGTTTAAGAATTAACAGTGATGTTGTTTGGTCTGTGGTGACTAGCAGTGGAATGCAGGATGCCCATTTCGTCCTGCTTGGGACTTGTCATCTGGATGTACCTGCGATCCTAAGTGAGTAATGGTATTCCCATGGGAGCTAACAGGGAAATCCAGCTGTCAAGTCCCTGATACGAAGAGGAGATCATCCTGGATTTCACTGCTAGTCGCCGCCAACCAAACTACTTCATAATGTAAACTTATTTGAATTCTCTGTGAATAATATAATCATGCCTCTTGACAACTTTTGTGAGTCATTCACCTCAGCTGCAAATATTCTCAGTTGTTTCAGAGTCCATATTTGGATAATGTCCCTTCTGTTATGCAGACCTACTTTTTCTAAAATACTACACTTATCTTTACAGTACAGTGCAGTCTGCATTTTTCTCCACTTATGACCTTGAGACCCTATTGGCTGTGGTTTAACTTATCAATGAAATTAGTGTCCTTCAAGGCCATTTAAAGCATATATATACATATTTACGCAATTGCTGTCAACCCTTCTCGATGTTGATACGAGACAGTAAAATCTTTCTAGGTTAACGGTCTGCCGTCTTGTCTTCTTGCGTCGCGGGTTCAGTAGTATCATAACGTGTCGTTGTTCTTGCTAATAGTGATTAGAACAGTAGGTTCTCAAATAGACTAGGTAGAAAGTTCGTTAGCGCAAACTACCAACGGTCATAACACTTTTCTTCATAGAGTTAATCACATTTTACAGATTTATTTATCTTCGTCATTTTAAACTTCAGTACAGATGCAAAATTCATAAATGAGTCCGGATATTTGTGAATTTTTCGCTTTAAAGTCTCTATGAATCAGGGGGAATAAAAGACTATGGAATAACATGTTTTATCAGTAAAGAAAAAGGAACATTTGAGTTGAAATTAACAAAAGCAAATAACATAAACTAGACTTCTATAACTTTTTATCTAATATGAATTAAGCTGATAAAATCCTTCTGCAGTCAACTCGCTCCCTGCTAAGTGAATACAACAATACCAAAACGCCTTCCAGAGTTACAAAGTTTCTCCAGTGTTGTAAGCATACAGATGATACATTCTTCTCTCCTAAGATAAATCTCCTATGTTCGGCTAATGTTATCTTAAAACTGGTTTTACAGTGAAACGTAAGAGGGAAAGTAGATTTAATTCGCTTGGTCGAAACTAAATAAGTAACCATAATAGTACAAGTGATAAAACAATCTGTAGGTAAGATTTATGCGCAGTGCTATGGCACAAACACGAAAAGTTATGTTTTGGTGTTTACAAAGACTCGTTAGAATAATGTTAAACTTGGTGGGTAAATCCAGCTCAAGAAAAACAATCGTTGACAGTTTTAGGGAAACCACTTGTCATTTTTTTGATGAACGAAATCAGAAAGAGCAAATAAGCAAAATCAAAATGTGCTTGCTTACTGAGATGATGATGCACATTATATCTGTTTCGACACTTTCTCAACCTCTTTAGGAGAATAAAATTCATTAAATGACTAGTGACAGTTATGTTTGTTCATTTAACGCTTGGGTGATCTGTGCTCCTGATTACTTATAAATTGTAGTCATTTTTGGTTACGCTTTTCACGTGTACTTTTAAAACTACCTAGCATGACTGCGAAGTGGTGGTGCAACGACAGAAGACAAGGGCCAGGCAACAAATCGTTTATTGAGAAAATCAAGAGATATTTATAGATTTTTATGTACATTATTGTCAGCGGAGAAGCAACGTCTTCTGACTGGTTGTTTTCTTGCTGAAGGTTATTCTGTACTGCTTGTGACCGCTTCTTAGAAAGTTAAGCCGTATATCTGCGAATCGTACCCGCACAAGTTGAGCCTGCTGTGATTGGTTGGTGAGTTCCTCAAGGTATTGTTTTTTCTCATGACCCCGATTCGGGACGTAAACATTAACGTAAGCTGTTGTCTACAATTTTGGCTTTCAGCTAGCACTCACCACAGTAGAATCTGTTCAGTCAAAAGTGTTATAATCTAGCACCTCATTAGGGTTTGTCACAACATCTCAAATGACTCAATACTCAGAATCACTTACAAAGTAAAGAGGTATATAGATGACAGTAATCGTAGGGAAGTCAGAGATATATATTCAGAAGGAACTCGTTCAACCTTAGCATCTATCAGGGACGCGATTTTGTTTGTTTTCTTCAGACTATTTCTTATTGTTTTCCGATTTCAATCGTCTTCATTTACAGAATATTATTTCGTTCTCTTTTTATAAATATCTTGATTAGAGGTCTTTTCTGAAAAAATCCATTTTAAGCAACTAAATTCTGAAGTTCTTACCTAAAAAGATGATTGAAGCTTCGTGACTAAATCACCTAGCTGCAAGAACACAACCACATAAAAGTATTACGCAACCATATTACTAAGACTGTTGTTTGTTCACTTAAATAATACTTGTGACTACGTTCTCTTCTAGAATGAAAAGCAGAAGAGGAAATGTAACTCGAACACTCCACTGGAATTAATCACTTAACATGCTAACAAGTATCTATAACCATCAATTTTGTTTTCGAATGAACGTCAGTCAGTAAATGAATGCTTTTACATGCTAAACAAATTATACTTTGTTGATGAATAAATTCCAAGGGCATTTTGTCATACAGCAGTCTCTGAATCCTTTACTTTGATTAGTGTAATGCAAAAAGACGACGCATCTGAAACATTTGATTGTGTATACACTAGTCTTAGCGAGCTAAAGTAAACGTTGAAAGTGTATCGCACTGACAACTCCTTTAGATAATAAATCGGTATACCGACACCAGTGCTACTGGAGTAAATGAAGTTACAAAGAAAACATGTAGTTTCTGTCAGTGGCACATTGGTGAAGAAAGGGATGACATCTATGGAGACCATTCTTTTATCTGCAAGACTGACATTCTTAACTGAATCGACAAAATCAAACGTGTCCCGAAGGTTATATCTCGCCAGCTTTTCCTTCATCACTCCAAGAATCTCTACCAGTCAATGCGCGATTAAGTGATGTGAGGGATTTATCGCATTTAATATTTGGGCGGAGGGGAACGTCTTCTGTTTGTGCCTTAGGTAAGCTGTACCAGATGGACGAAGTTGTTCATATAGTTGTGAACGAATGACTGAATCATTTTTTCATTTTCTTTATTATTTTTGTCAGCTTCAGCTCCGTCTGTTCATTAGAATCATTCTGAAGTGACTGTTTTAGAAATTCCCCCATTAGATAGATAAATGACAAGGTGTTCGAGGATCGAGCTGTTGGTATTCTTCTTTTCTCCACTGGATAACCAAGCTGGGCAGTGTTCCAGAGTACGTTTGTGGACTTGACTTCGTGCACGGCCGATATACTTTGCTCCACACGAGCAAGTAAATTGATAAATACACATTGAAGTGGCCAAAGGTGGTATCTTGTCCTTAGCGTTAGACTGGGTTAGCTCTCTGCAGGAGAATGTGATGCGTAGAGTGGCTGTTGGAAATGTCTTTTTCAGACATTTAGAAAGGCGGTTTCTGAAAATTTCCACTGCAACATCACTTTTGACAAAAACATGAAGGAGAAGCCTCCGGTGTCAAACATCGCAACGGTTCCTAAGAAGACTCTCTTCATGAACCCAGAATTCAAAGGTGATGTCGCAGCGGAAATTCTCAGAAACCGCCTTTCTAAATGTCTGAAAAAGACATTTCCAACAGCCACTCTACGCATCACATTCTCCTGCAGACAGTTAATCCAGTCTAACGCTAAGGACAAGATACCACCTTTGGCCACTTCAATGTGTATTTATCAATTAACTTGCTCGTGTGGAGCAAAGTATATCGGCCTTACACGACGTCAAGTCCACAAACGTATTCTGGAACACTGCCCAGCTTGTTTTTCCGGAGGAGAAAAGAAAGGTAGATAAATGTTTCCAGATTTTTGGCCGTATTACTGATAATTAATAATAATAATATATATATATACATGAGCATGTGACTGAAAATCGATTTAAGTTTATCGAATACATAAGATTACTTTTTCATTGACACAAAATGCGAAAGGATGTCTATTGTATCCGAAAATGAAATCTCCTTCTTATTTATCTTATTTTAAATATAATTACTACTGTTATTATGATGATTATAATAGTAGCGATCATCATAATTACTTCTATGGCCAGTGTTTCTATCGTTATCTAATTACACTCAGTCTATTATTACTAATTTATGAAGTTAATTCTGTTACATGTCAAACAAATGAAATTGAAATTGACAACTGTTTCGGTTTAACAAATAATAACAATAATAAGCATGATTTTAAAAAATTGCTTCAAAGCTTTGCATATCATCGTGCTTATTATTATAAAACAAAACCAGATGGACTTGAACTGGTAACAAAATTTAATCCATTATCATCTTGTATATATGGTGTTATTCTCCCGCATGAAAAAAGTTTTCATCATTTAAACATTCATATAATGGATACTTATTTACAAGTGATAAAATCTACGTCAGATAAACACGAATTAATAAATAAACATCAAGTGAAATTGAGTATTCTTCAAAATATCAATGATGGTATGACTGATAATACTGTTTATTTAGCTACAATTTATATGCAGCTTAGTGAGAATAATAAAACAAATATGCTCTTACAAATAAGCGAGTTTAAATCACTAGTTAGTCCAGTTTACTTTATTATTGAACATGATTTACCCATAGAAGTTGATGGTTTAATCCATGTCCACTTACGCCTATTAGTGACACCAGTGTATTTATGTAGAAAATATGAAGGTATGCTTCTGCCAGTGGATAAAGATTTAACCCGTTATCAAGGGGAACAACAATTACCGCTAGAAAAAGATAAAACAACAATTGGCGAGTTATTTAATTGTATGCAGGCTAAAAATAAATCTTTACTCGGTAATTTGTTTAAACCATACTTTTGTATTAAATCAGCATTAATGTGCGATCAATATTCAAATTGTCCACAGCTGCTGTTTAGTTATTCTGGGCATAATTTTAAGACATTAGATGAACATCCTGCCTACTGTCGTAAAGTTGTTGTATTCCGTATGAAAGATATTACCCTGCAAACAATATTCTTTTCGCTATTATCAATTTCATTAATTTTAATGACATTGTCATTTGCATTGCGTAAACAATTTTTGAATTTATTGGATAGAATGTGTAACAGAAGAAGACGATCAACTGAACTTACGACTAATGAATCAGATAATGTAGGAAATATTACCGAGACAGGTGATGGAAATCAACCTCAGCATCATCATCATCGGCCTATAACTATCATCGTAAATCATGCCAACATAATGAGAAATAATACTCTTTCAGTTTTGTATAACCAGAATGTATCTCCGACGAATTTCTATGAACCACCTCCATCGTATAATGAAGCTGTTAAACAGTCCAATATGAGTAAACAACAAATGCTTGATAGGGATAGCCCAGTTGACATGACAACATCAGTGGAGAGTTGTTCAGATGCCTGTCAGTTACCGAGGCGATTAAAGCCAAACAGTCTAAGCCGTAAAATCTTTTCACCTTACTATCCTGAAGAAACTTCAGCGACAACTTCTTCTGTTTGCCTGAAAAGGAGTAGAACTTCACCACCGAATTATATTCATTGTTTTATGTCTGATTTATTGTCAGAAGCCTCTAATTTGTATTCGTCAAATAAAAATGAGGATGAAGGAAATGAAAGATAACTTTTTTTGCAGAAAAAAAATAATTCAATTTTCTTTAGATATGTATTTCTTTTTAATGAAAACACATTTAAATGAATATAAAGAAATTACATTTTTAAATTCAGTCATTGTCAAAGATTAACATACCATCATGTAAGGCGGTTTATTTATAGGAATAGACAAGTTATTGATATGAATGTGACTAGGATATATTTGTGAACTTTGAAATCGTATGATGATGTCTGTCTGTTTTCGACATAGAACTTTGCACATATGTGCGGCAGTTCAAGTCGACACACTCCCTCCTTGTAGCACACAAAGCAAGAGAAGAAAGTAGGAGAAATGCATAGTATAGACAGTAAACAGAGGTGTGAGACAAAGGAATAGTAATAACGAAGAACAAAACAGTTTCATTGGAAATCATAAGTCACAAGGAGTGGATGCATCTGCGCCAGCCATTGAGAACGATTTTGAGCCATATCACCAATTGTTTCCAACCATTGGTTTTTACTGTCCCGAGGACCCCAACCAGGAAGTCTACACCTTCCTATGTGGCTGGCTTAAACTAACTGTTGTAGATTTCATTGACTGGTGCCATGTTTTGGTTTGACCGCCGCTAGCTCTTTTCCAACCTGACCCTATGTCAGCTAACATTGCCTGTCGAGGAAGGCGATAGATGGCTAGGCATACGTAACACATGTCCTAACCATCTCAGTCGATGTAATTTCACAGTCTCATCGATTGATTTCCCCTCCTTACCTAGCACTCGACGCCTAACCTCAATATTGCTCACCTTATTATACCACTTCACACGGGAGATAGAACGCAGACACCTATGATCAAAGACAGCTAATCTTTTCATGTCTTCCACTCTCAATGATGATGGTTAGAAGTTGTAGATAAGACCGCTCAGTATCTGATCATCTTGTTCGTTTTCATTTTAATCCTTTAAATGTTCACTGCTGTTATGAAGTGTAGCGATTTGAAGAGGTTTTCTCACATGCAAGATTCTATATTACTCCGTCTTGGCTGATTGGTAAGAAGGGTTCTTTTCCTACAGTTTCTTGTAGATCACCGTAAATAAAATATCTGACACCTATTTAGCATCTGTAAATGATTTATTTTGGATACCTTGTTAACTCCAGTCTTGAAGCCTGTTGATCTAGACCACTCACCTAATCACTATGTACGAAGCCTTCAACTGGAAAACTGTCAGCGTCTCTTTCTTTCATCAGTGACCGCTTTTTAAATAGGGATAAACTGATTCAGTTTTAACAAGATATTCTGGAGACTGTGGACTGTTGTGTTTGAAATATATACGTTAAAAAAGTTTTTTTTTAACACTAAACACACGATTTCGCTTTTAGTTGCACAGTGATGTTAGTTATGGAATAATATAAATTAGTGTTTAATGGTATCTCAGGTGACAAGTGAGAGTGGCCATTCTGGTCAGTGCATTATATATTCTTTTATGCACAATTTTAAGAAGTGTCACCTGTTGAAACTTATATCCAGGATTTTATCACAGGTTTTCAGAGTTTATTTTGGCTGCTTAGCGCTGGATTAGTAATCCTGAGGCCACTAGTTCAAATTGTGAAACGTCTTAGATTTTCATTGCTTTCTCAATAAGCACTTGCTATAACAGCTAATTTTGTCAGTTTAAAGTCAGTCACAATTAGTGAAATTTTGCTCATTTTAGAGTAGTGTTTGTACTTCATTTCTAATTAAAAATGTGAGAAACAATTGAGAAAGCATCGAAGCCATCAGTAAATTTTGTTTTCAGTAATTTCATCTTACCTCAGTGCGTTTGTTAAATGTCATATGGGATTTATTTTTTCACAAACTACGTTTAACCGATTTAGTTATGGTAGATTATGCAACTTGTGCGTTGAAGTTTCTGTAACAGTGTGATTGGTTTTGTGGTGTAGGGTCGCTAGCCCTACCCCCAACCCTCTCTCTTTACCTGGGATTGGGACGGGCTAGGAAACTAGCCAGCTACTAAGCTAGACTCTAGAAGATCTGTATTTAGCGGATGGTTTATGTTAATGTCACTCAAACTCGAAGACTTGCAGGCAAAAACCAACAAACTGGCTGAAGAAGCAGGCAGTGAAAACAGGACTCCAGATGAATTTAGAGAAGGAGGTGATGAAGATAACCAGCCAACGGACAGCAACAACAGTCAGCACCAATCACCATCAAAGGGAGAGATTTAACAGAGGTCACCTTCTCCACTCGTTTCAACAACATGTGGAACAGATGAAGATGTCGAAACCAGAGAAAACCACCAACCTGAAACCAGTTTTAAATCTTCTGCATTCAGCCAGCATAGACAACAAGATTCGGATTTTCAACACAAATGTGAAGTCACTCTGTTCTTCTATATCGGTCAGAAACTTGCACTGCGTCACGAAAAGCGTTTCCAACAGGCCACTGCAGACTTTTATCAACAGCTATCTTTGCTGGCTCCATACTGAAGATCAAATGGCCAGCCGGCCAGAAAGAATTAGCTACAAGAAACTCTGGCTGGGAACAAACCGACAGAGAGCGGATCGCTCAAAAACATGTAGGAGAAAATGGAGATTGATCGGGCATACGTTGAGGAGACCACCGAATGACATCGTTCGCAATGCAGGCCGTCGCTGGAGTTGAATCCGAATGGAAAGCGATGAGTGGGCCGTCGGTGCGAAAGGTGACATAGAGGAGATCATGTGAGGAGGAGATGAGAGAGTTTGGTCAATCGTGGACTCAGCTGAAGAGGATTGCAGAAAAGATAAGCAAGTGGAGATGTATTGTTGAAGCCCTATGTTTCACTAGGAACCCAAAGGAATAACAGTAATATAATAATAGATTATGCAACTAAAATCGATAAGTATTTGTGCACTCTTTGATGCTCGTTTTGTTTCTGTATGCGTTAACATAGGTTAAACTTTCTACTAATTGAGAGATGAGAAACTAAACAGTAGTAAGGGTAATTGGCTTTAAACTATCAGCCTGTTCACCTGAAGTGACAGTAACATTCCATTTTACATTGCCACATTTCGTGTTTTACAAATTCTCTTGTATTGGCACTTTGAGACAAAACATTTTAGTTGAATCCTTAAAACTATTATTTGAATCACACTCATCTAATTATTTGTAAATTGCAGTGGCTATAGTAGGGCAAAGCTAGACAAAAATAATGCAGTCATCATCAGCGAACAGAAGAAAGGGTGTTGACAAATTGGTGAGTACAAAAAATCTACAGTTATGAAGATAAACTTCACCTGTAATGAATTTAATGAAGTGAGCGTTACATAACTAAAAAGTAACAGTCTGACTGAGCAAAACACTTGCGTAAAACAAAACTAATAAACTCTTGATGACACACAAAACAACACGTTATGCTGTTGACACTGAGGATTTGGAAGCAGTTAGAGAGAAGACTTAGACAAAGTAATTATCATATAAGAATAGAACTGGGGGGGGGGAAGATTTATTTAATGCATCACACAATAATGCAGTATTACTTGTACTTAGAAGACGTTTCTAGCACAAATTATCGCCCATATGGTTAGATCTTAAGTAGGCTGCGAATAAACACTCCACGAAAATGAATTCTTATTAGAAATCTAAAATTGAATCAGTAAGCGCTGCAGTTAGTGACTTTATTATTGAACTATTCAAACTGGGATAAGCCTCTTTTATGTACGATGTCTACTGGCGTGTAATCAACATAATGTTGTCGAGTTCTTGGTGCTACTGAAACTCTGTTCATCAGGTTACCAGCATGTTTGTTATTCCAACAGGATGGTTATCAGAATGGACCTTCAGGAGACCAGAGACAATCAGTTAAACGCTATGGAAATTTAAAAAAAGTGAAATTTATTCTGTATTAGGAACACAGAAACACATTACTCCAATGAATCACAAAAATAAACCATGCGATTGTATTACATTGGCTAATTTGCTTTAGCCACCTATACCACGTAGCATCAATGCTTTGAGCTTCATTGGAAGGAATTAGCCAGTTTGAATCTGAAGAATAAGTCCATACTTCATATTATACTCAGTTAATGTCGTATGCCAGATTCTCAAAATTTCTGACCCTTAAAAGTACAACTTGAAGAAGAGGAAAATAACACGGAACAAAGTTCCATACGAAGCGCAAGAAATAATGCGATTTATTATACAAAGCTGAAGAAGTTCAGACCAGATTGCCGAACGAAACGTTGGAATTAATCATTTCAGTTTCGCTGAGATTTTACAAATATAATCTTATAAATGTCAACGGAAACGTAGTTTCCTAAAATCTTAAAATTCAACCAGAATTCCCACCCATGCATATTAAAAGTTGAGTCAACTATCAAGACATTTAATAAACAATTAAATCATTTCAAACAGGACAGTTTCCTTTACATGAATAGCCTATATCACTAAACGTAGTGGTTGAGAATTCTATGAGCGTTTCGCATATCTTTCACTGAGTCGAGTCACACATCTTAAAACAAACACACAGAACTCTTTCCATTTCAACTTTGCTCCAAATAATGTGAAAATATGTGACCTCAGTAGTTTTGTATTTGTTTTATACTGTAACGGTACTGTGGAGAATATATTTCACATTCAGTCAGCTCTCTACCTCGGCTTCATCGACTTTGAAAAGGCCTTCGACAGCGCCGATCAAGGGGTGATTTGGCAACTACTTCGCTACAACGGGGTGCCACCGACAATTATACAGCTCATCCAACAGTTGTACGACAATGATGCATGCCTAGTATTCCACAACGGGAAACTTATGGAATCCTTCGAAGTAAAGACGGGAGTAAGAAAAGGCTGCCTACTAGCGCCAATGATTTTCCTGATTGCAGTAGATTGGATAATGCGACAAACAGTGGGCAATGAGGAAACAGGCATAAAAATGGACTCACACAAAAAACTTGGAGGATCTGGACTTCGCCGATGATATATGTCTGATTTCCCACAAACTGGAAGATATGCAAGCGAAAAGCAACAAGTTGGCGGAAGAAGCATCAAAGATAGGA